ATTTTATGAAAAAGAAAAATATTGGTGGGGTTGCCCTTTTAAGATATGCATGATTCTTTAGAATAAACTATTGAGTATTGAGTTGCAGTTCCTTACTTGACATGGCAAAGTGCCACACATCTTTATCACTATATCCTCTGGATTTTTACCTAACCACTACACATATATGCGGAGATACTACGGTCCCGTTACGGAACCACTTCGTCGGGGTTTGTAACCCTATCAACTATCCCCAACGGTTACATGATGATCTAACGGTTACAAACCCCGACGGAATAGTTCCGTAACGGACATAGTATTTCCCCACATATATGATCACCAGAAAGTTCCCCCGCAAATTATTAAGAGCAAAAGTTACATACTGAATATATCATGTGTTTATGGTGTGTTATAAATCTTTCCACAAAAACAAAAAACAAGCCAAGACATGATAAATTGTTTGGGACTTTTGGTACATTATAGTATGTGGTTTTAAGATTTTAGTCAAAATATGATATCCAGATCATGTTAGTCACAAAAAGATTAGGTTGTCTGTCTCACCATGAGACACTATATATACTTTTAAGATCATGAAATCCTTACACAAGTTGTAAAACCGATGATTCGTTGACTAAAAGTATCGTGTTTTGAATGAAATTAAGTCTTACGTTTAGATTATCGTTCATTTCGCACGTGCATATGAAGATTTATGTTACGTTTTTTTCTTTTCTTTGGAAGAATCGAAGTCCCATTTGTGATACTCGTTCGAATTTTATTCGATCATGCAGGTAAAAGATGTATGAACTAGGAAAAAAAAGGTTCCCTTGAAGAGAAAAAATGGTGGAAGAGTTGAAATGGAGTAGTAGTATATAGGTTGGCTTTTACTTTTGAGGTAGGAAAAATGTTAGAAGTGGGGTTGTGTGAAAATGAACTTTTTTTTTTTCAACTCTAGAAAAGAAAAAGGGGGGTGGTGGATCTTGGTGGGATTCTTTGCCGGCCAGCGGCTAGGCATGGTGGTCGCCACCACCACTTATGGTGGTCAAAGGAACTATTATCATTTTGTAATTTCTCTCCTATTGGGAAAGTGTGTTTCCTTAAAATTCTTCCTTAGTGCCTCTCTCTCTATATATCTCTCTCACCTTTTTTTTTTCTTTTTGTTTAACCTATTTTGGAAAAGTGAATGGAAGAGAAAAGATTTAGCCTCAACTCAACATCTAGCTTCCTTTTTTTTCTCTTTAATTATGTTTTCTACCCCTTGCTTTTAATGTGTGTAGTAGAGGTGTACAAAATTCGATTAATCACGCCGAACCGAATGAAATCGAGATTTTGGTTTGGAACGAGATTGAAATCGCAATTTGGTCCGATTTTTGGTTTACATTTTCTTAGTATTTTGGTTTTGGGTTCGGTTTGGATAGTAGTATTCGGTTAACCGAACCGAACCGAAAACTAATTTATACATATATACATATACACATAAGTTAAAAAAAAAAAAAAAAAAATTGCTTCAATGATAGGTTCAATGGGTCATAGGCTTAAGCATTAGTGGGGTGTATTCATGTAGAATTTCTAAGGACTAACAAGACTTTAAAAATTATGTTGTATTTAATTTAGATCTGTTTAGACTTTTAAAAATCTTGGAGTATTCAATTGGGATTTTAAAAAGTCTTACAAAATCATGAGGTATTTAATTTATTTGATACTAGGATTTGTTAAGACTTTTTAATATTTGGTGGAATTTCTAAAAACATAAATCTTATACCAAATCTCACTACAAATCCTACCTCAAGACATAAGATTTTATGGAATTCCTCCAAAGTCTGAAAATCTTAAAAAGTCTAAATTGTCACTTATAATCCTAATTGAATATACCTCCTTAATTTGCACTCAATATTGACTTCATTATAGTCCAAGTCATGGTTCGGGTCCGAAATCTTTCTTATAAGAGAATTTGAAATTATTGAGAAGATTAATCAAGGAGATAAAAAATTATTTTTTTTGTTCGCATAAAAATTATTTTTTTGGTTCGGTTAAAAAATTGAAATATATTGAAAAGATTAATTATTCATTGCCTCGAATCGACCGCAGGATTTTCGATTATAAATCGAACCAAACCTCTGTTCGTTTTTCGGTTTTTATAATGGATAAACTAAATTTTCAATAAACTGAAAATTGGGTCGGTTGGATTCGGTTTCGACCGAACGAGCAAGCCTAGTACATAGAGTTTGGGGCGAAGAAGATTTTGTAATTCTTGGGGGTCTTTGTTGGTTCTTTATTTGAAGCAATTTTCATGCATTACCCATGATATGTATTTGGAGATGTTGACTTCATGAGTGGACCATTTTTCAATGTAAAAATGCATTTTTTTTTTTATTTTTTATTTTTTTACCAAAACTTTTTGGGCTGATAGAGATCCTTTTATGCTGAAAGTATATATTTAATTTTTGGAAGCTTTGATATTTGCAAGACTTTTTTTTTTTGCAAGACATTTGTTTTT